CTCTTCCCTTATTTTGAGTCATGCTGACAGAGGGGGTTGAGCTGTGGAAGACAGGAGTCATGGCATTGGAATCATGAAGTGGGCGGGCACGTGCATTTAAGCTTATAGAATTTTGGAGATAAAGAGCCCTTGGGAATCACCTAGTGTAATTCTGCCCTTTGGTTTCTATTTCAGGTGCTCTCTACTACATGACGATTAATGTAGTCAGTTCAGTTCAGTTCAGTCACTCAGTCACGTCTGACTCTTTGCGACCCCATGAATTGCAGCACGCCAGGCCTCCCTGGCCATCACAAACCCCTGGAGTCTACTCAGACTCATGCCCATCGAGTTGGTGATGCCATCCAGCCAAGTGAGCAGCAAATCAACACAGCATAAACGAAAAGAGTAGAAACATGTCTATCTCCTATCTATTATTCTGTCTATATTTACTATGTCCATTCTCCAAACCATTTTCCCAAGTTCTATATCTATCTAGCTATCGACCTGTCCTTTCATATCTATTACTGTATATATCAAAGGACAAAAGATGGTTCAAAACCTAATAGAATTTCTGTCTTGATCAGCTCAGGCTGTTACTGCAAAAATACCCCAGACTGGGTGGCTTAAACAACAGAAGTTTAAGTCTCATAGTTCTGGAAGCTGAAGTCCAAGGTTTGGGTGCCAGCAGAGTTTGCTTCAGTGGGAGCCCTGCCCCTGACTTGTAGATGGCAACCTTCCTAATGTACCCTTACAGGGCAGAGAGAGCTCATTTCTCTCCTGTCTCTTTTTAAGGACACTAATTCCATTGCAGGGGCTCCACCCTTATAACCTTATTACCTGCCAAAGCCCTCCCTCCACAGAACATCCTATTGGGGATTAGGGCTTCAGATTTGAATTTTAAGCACGGTGAAGTGGACATAAACAGTCAGTCCATGGTGGTTACATACATTTATTAAGGAAGAATTAAGGAAGAAATTAAGGAAGAAAAGGGAAAAGGAGGTAGAGGCAAAAAAAAAAAAAAAAAGATAGAGCTAAGAATGAGGCTAACACAAACGTGAATGTGATAGAGTTTGGCTCATTTACAAGGAGAAGCGTGGAAGTGGAAGTGTGGCTCTGGTCCCCAGTGCCTAAGGAAGGACCTGAGCAATCACACACTTCATGGTGTGAATAAGGGGAAAACAAACCAGCTGTTCAGAAGACATTTGCCTGCTCCTGACATCCAGTCTCCCATGTTATGGTCATCATCCAGGATTAGCAGCTAACATTTGTGCATTACTGTTTTATACAGTGTTATCTCTTTTCCTTCTTACATCAGCTCCAGAACTATTTTATTGTTCTCTTATTGTTCACTTCTTTTTACAGACGAGAAGATTGGGGCTTAAGAGGTTAAATTCCTCCCTAAAGGCCATACAGTTCTTAGTGGGAGAATGGGGGTTCAAACCCAAGTTCATTTCTGGCTTCCCCCATGGTTGCTAACTGCTTGGTGCCCAGGATCCATACGGCGGGCTTCAAATTTTGTGTTAGAATTTTGAATGACAACAAATAGCTGTGGGGGTGGAATGAGATAATTTTCTTCTTAACTTTAAGAGAAACTATTGTTGAAATACACGGGTTCACCATTTTTGGTGTTCTTGTATTTATACTTAATCTTTGAAATCAAACCAAACTCTTGGGGGATCGGAATCATTGCTCTCATGGTAGTAAAAATATATATCTGGTATCTAACTTGAAACTTCCTTTGTAATCGGCGTCAAATGCAAGCACTGTGAATTAAACTGCTGCCAGCCTTCCTAACCTGCCTCATGAGTGTAAAATCAGTGCAACTATTGTACCCAGCTGGTGCTGGTGGACATGTGACTATGTTTGTGTCCTTGAGGAATCTGAGTCGGATGGCACAGAACATCTGAATCCAAGGGGTATGGTTTGTGCCACGTGCTATAATAATCCACAGGAGATGAAGTGGAGGTGGTAGCTGGATTTCAAGAAGCATTTCAAGTGCATTGATCAGTTGAAACCAGGACTGAAATAGTTACTATATTAAGCAATTTATAGATGAAGAAACCAATTGCCTTGCCCCACTTTCCCAACCAGGGTCTGGACTTGGGTCGAATCACTAAGTCACATCTGGCTCTTTCCCAGTTTCTCTCTTAGAGGAAGCTCTGTCCTTTTTATTCCAGATGTTCCAGAATACTCAAGTAGTCCTCTCCAAATTTATCCTTCCAATTTCCCTCATTTTAGTTAACGACAATGTCATCTACCTGGTCACCCAGGCCAGAAACTTCTGTCATCCACAGACTCTCCCTCTTCACTCACCTGACCAGTCTGAGTCTCTCACCAAGTCTGGGAGCCTCTCCCATAGGCAGGACTCACAGCCGCCCCTTTCTCTTCAGTCCCCACCCTGTCACCACCTGCCTTCACACCCTGGTCACCTTTTGCTAGAATCACCTTAAAAAACAAACAAACAAAAAAACCCCCCAAAACCTCAGAAATTCCCTGGTGGTCCAGTGGTTAGGACTCTAAGCTTTCACTGCTGAGGTGTGCGTGCATGCTCGATCGCTCAATCATGTCTGATTCTTTGCGACCCCATGGACTGTAGCCCACCAGGCTCTTCTGTCCATGGGATTATCCTGGCAACAACACTGGAACAAGTTGCTGCTTCCTCCTCCAGTGGGTCTTCTTGACCCAGGGATTGAATTCACATCTCCTGCGTATACTGCATTGGCAGGCAGATTCTTTACCACTGAGCCACCTGGGAAGACCCCACTGCCCAGGACGTGAGTGAGTTCAGTCTCTGGCTGGGACCTAAGATCCTGCAAGCCATGTGGCTCAGTCAACAAACAAACAAATGAAAAAAACCTTTAAATGTGCTTCTCTGCCTCCAACACACCCATCAGAGCGAGTCCGTAAAACACAGGTCTGACCATCCTATCCCTCAGTATCCCCCATTGTGTACAGTGATTGTTCTCAAATCGTGTTCTCTGGGGACTTCCCTAATGGTCCAGTGGTTAGGACTCCTCACTTCCAGTGCAACAGGGCAAAGGTTCAAACCCTAGTGAGGGAACTAAGGTCCCACATGCTGTATGGTATGGCCAAAAAAAACAAAAATCAAAACAAACCCCATATTCTCTAAAGCCAGGGTTCTGCAGCTAAGACTGGGGACTCCAGTCCTCTTCCCTGAAATGACCATAGAGTTCCCCTTCTACTTATATACAGGCTTCTGCAAAAAATTTGGCTTAACATAGCAATTTTTTCTAAATAGCCACACTCTATCCATGACTCCTGACCACAGACCATCCCAGACCCCTCCATGTTACTTGCACATGATGGAATGTTCTCCAGTCATGAGCGCCCCTGGCTGTTCCCCAAACATATGTGTGCTGCCTCTGTTTCCTTGAACACGCCCTCTTCTCTGCTTGGGATGGACTCTCCCCCTCCTCTCTCCTCTGAGAGTCCCACTCACCCTTCAGAAGCAGTGCAGATGTCACCTTCTGAGGACGGCATGGAACCTCCTTGATATATCCCACAGGCAAACTGTTGGCTCCCTCCCCCACCCCCAATCTGTGCTCCCACCTGATCCCAGCTGTGTCTTGATGGTGGCCCTAGCCATGAAAACCTTTTTTACACGTCTTCCTGCCCATTCACCCCTACTAGATCATGAATGATAGACTTCTCTGTAGCTATCATAGATTTCCCTGTAGTTCAAATGATAAAGAATCTGCCTGCAAGGCAGGACACCAGGGTTCGATCCCTGGGTTGGGAAGTTCCTCTGGGAAAGGGAATGGCAATTCACTCCAGTGTTCTTGCCTGGAGAATTCCATGGACAGAGAACCCTGGCGGGCTACAGTTCGTGGGGTTGCAAAGAGTCGGACACAACTGAGCGACTAACACAGTCCACAGATCATGAATGACTCAAAGGAAAAGATTTATATTTTACTCGTCTCTGTGTTCCCACTACCTAGCAAAATACTTGGCCCCTGAGAGAAACTCAATAAACCAGGAGATGAAACAACACCATTCATGATCAGCCTGTCAACAATGCAAGCCGGAAAAGTAAATGCCTCAGGTGAATAGTAGGTAGGGGACAGGGCAGGGGGATGACAGGATGAGGGGAACAGGGGTGAGGGCCTTCAAGGGTGGTTGATTCTGGACTGCTGCAACTGAATTCAGAATTCAGGTGTTTTTAAGTACAACTTAACAGATAATTTAAGGCCCGTGAAAACTCGACATGCCCCTTCGACTAGGAGCTCTAACTGGGGCTCCCGTGGGAAAAGCAGACGGTGCGGGTCCTACTTGCTTGGATAATTTCACATCAACAGTCTCAACAGCTCGTCCGTGTGAGGTGGTGCCCCTTCGCCTGAATGGACTCTGTTAATGCTCCTGACAACGCACCTGTCCATTCTGAAGTTATCGTTACGTCCATTATACAGATAAGAGAACTAGCCCTGTGCAGCCCTATAGCCAAGACATAGTAGAAGAAGCTCATGAAAGTGTGTCTTCAGATTCCACATCCTGTCATTTCTCCATGCTGCTTTATCTCCTGAAGTTTCCCCAGTACGTCCATGTGCTTTGGGAGGATGAAGATGATGAAGAAAAGAGAGAGAGATTTACGACCTCACGTTGTGTCCTTTCTTACCAAACCCCACCCTCTAACTGAGCACACGGGGAAAAAAACCTCACCACATCCTTCTTCTTATTCAATTTCCTTTTTTATTTTTGTTTATTTATTTTAAAAAATATTTATTTGGCTGTGCCAGGTCTTAGTTGCAGCGTGTGGGATCTAGTTCCCTGACCGGGGATTGAACCTGGGCCCCCTCCATTGGGAGCGTGCAGTCTTAGCCATGAGACCACCAGGGAAGTCCTTGGTTTCTTTTTTTATTGAGACATAATTCACATACCATAAAATTCACCATGTTAAAGCATACAGTTCAGTAGTTTTTAGTACATTCACGAGGTTGTGCAAATGCTACCAGTAATTTCAGAACATCACCATGATTTTTTTTTCTAATGTTTTTGTTTTCCAGATTCCAATAATGAGAGACCCTGGATGGATTCGAAATGTCTGGTCCTCAAACATTAATGTGAGTGGAGCTGCTATGAATGTCCTAATGATACTTTAACATTTCCAGATGAGAGAAAATAGTCTCTGACCAACTGGTTTATTGCTATGGATACATGCAGTCCCCAAATCAGGACTCTACCACTTCCCCAATGCTTTCAGAGTTGCTCTGTAGCCCTTTCTAAAGATTTGATGAGCCCCAGTTGAAACCCAGAACATTTTTGCTAGTTTCTAATCTCTTCTGCCTGTGAGCCATCTTCTCTTGGGCATAGATCTAATTTTTGTTTTGTTTTTAACTTTCTATTTTATATTAGACTATAGCTGATTAACAAATGCTGTGATAGTTTCAGGTATACAACAAAGCCACTCAGCCATACATTCTCATGTATGCATTTTCCACCAAACCCTCCTCCCATCCAGGCTAACACATAACATTGAACAGACTGGATCCAATAGGATGCATGCACCCCAATGCTCACTGCAGCACTATTTGAAGTAGCCAAGACATGGAAGCAACCTAAATGTCCATCGGCAGAGGAATAGATAAAGAAGACGTGGTACATATGTACAACAGAAGATTATTCAGCCATTAAAAAGAATGAAGTAATGCCATTTGCAGCAACATAAGGTGGACCTGGGGCTTGTCATAGATCTGATTTTACCACCTCCCTGATTAAAAAGCATTTGATGGCTCCCTAGTGCTAACAGGGAAAAGGTTCATATCAAGTTCAGGCTATTTGTTTGCCCCTCATAGATGGTCAGATGTCCATCACATTAATAAAAGCCCTTGCAGTTGCCGCTAAACCCCTCAGAGTCCTGCAGATTCTGCCTCTCCTTCCTGCACCCATTGGTCCGTTTGGTCACTGCCCCATGCCTGGTCCCCAAGCCTTGGCTCTGCCTTTGCTCTCTGCTCTTTCAGGGTCTCCCTTGTCCCCATGTTCAGCAGCCTGAGCCAGCACCACCCTTGTCTGCATGCCCACGCCAGCTTCCACGTTCTGCTCATGAGTCTGACTTATTGAGCCTCTGTAGTTTGGGGGAAGGTGTATTTTGTTGAAGCATAACTGGCAGTGGTCCATCTACATCCTGGCTCCTTTCTCACAGTACCTGTAAATCACCTGCATGTTGCCCTGGACCAGACTTTAAGCTTCAGTAGTTTCCTACAACTTGCTCTGCCCAGTAGATTTTAAACCTGAGATTCTCTCCTGTGGAGAAGAGACTTGAGGGAATACACTGCAGGTGGAGGGGCCTCAAGAAAAGGCTTTTGGAATTCCTAGAGTGGAAGGAAGTAGGCTTCCCAGGTGGTATTAGTGGTAAAGAACCTGCCTGCCAGTGCATGAGACAGAAGAGATGCAGGTTCGATCCTTGTGTTGGGAAGATCCCCTGGAAGAGCGCATGGCAACCCACTCCAGTATTCTTGACTGGAGAATCCCATGGCTGGAGGAGCCTGGCAGGCTACAGTCCTTAGGGTCACAAAGAGCTGGACACAACTGAAGCGACTTAGCATGCACACACAGGGAAGAAGTAATAAAGCCTCAATAGGCATTTGTCTCGACTGTGGCCTGTGCTAAGTTTTAGGGATATAGAATAAAAGTAACACTTGGCCTTGCTCTCAAAGAGCTCAGTCTGGGAGAGACTCTGGTCGGAGAGTGGACCAGGAGGATTTGCAGAGGACCCAGGAGGCCCAGTGCAGGGCCAGCCAGAGCGTGTCTTCATACATGAACCCAGAGACTCCAGTTAAGTGAATGAAGAAGGCTCCTGAGAAAGTCCTGGCCCTGGGAATGCTGGGAAAAGCACAGGTTCTATTTCCAAGTGGATTGGCAGGGACTGGGCCCAATCAGAGGCCAGGAATCCTGAGTGGGGCAGGCAGTTAGTGGCAGTTGAGCCTGGAGTGTGGGGAGCCATCCTCTATGGAGGAAAGAAGGGGCAGGATGTCCTGGTAAGTGAGCTGCTCTGCCTGCGGGAAGCCGTGGGGGCTGGCCATCATGAGGTGGTCTGAGGCTGCCATTTTCCATGGCCAAATCCCATTCTCCAGACCTGGGGGCTGGAGCCCATGGCCACCAGGTTTCCAGGCCCAGCCCCCAGTCCATGGTGCTGGTAATGGCCGTGGTTACAAGAGAGGCGGTCAAGGAGAGGCATCAGCTGGGCCTCACTGTCAGACCTTCTACTGGACCTTCACAGAGCTCATGAACTAACAAGACAAGAAGCCATGGAGAGGGGATGTGAAGTTTCTGCTCTAAGGGTGAAATTACAGAAAATCTGAACTGTCTATGCAGGAGAACTGAATTAGGAGAGCAAAGTTTTGGTGACATTTGCCACTTTTAGAGTACGTGTGATATTGAGCAAGTTCCCTAACTTCTCTGAGCTTTATTTCCTTTGTTATATTGGGAGTTCATCCCATTGTGAACACAGAGTGCTCGCTGTTAACCACCAGGCATCGTGTAGAAGAGAAGTATGTGTGTATGTTTTTGCTCAGTTGCTCAGTCATGTCCCACTCTTTGCCAACTCATGGACTATAGCCCAACAGTCTTCCCCTCTCCATGGGACTCTCCAGGCAAGAATACTGGAGTGGGTTGCCATTTCCTCCTCCAGGGGGTCTTCCTGACCCAGGGATCGAACCTGCATCTCCTGCATCTTCAGCATTGGCAGGTGTATTCTTCATCAGTGGGCCACCAGGGAAGCCCGTAGAAGAGAAGACGGGCTTGTAACTCAGCTTGGGTTGGGTGGAGAGTTTAGAGGCAATTCAGAAAATGGCTTCCAAGAGAAAGTGAGTCTTATGCATGGTCTTGAAAGAGGTGTCTAAGTTAGCCAGGCATGGAGGTAAGAACTGGGTCATACAATTGAAAGAGTGAGAGAGGAGTGGGAGATGAGAGTGCAAGAGGGGAAAGCAGTGTCAATGATGGGGGGTGGGACTCACTTGCTGTTCTAAGGAGTTGGCCTTTATCCTACAAGAAAAGGTAATGCAGGAAGGGTTAGCACTGAAGAGACTTAAGCAGACAGTGCTAAGTCAGATCTGCAGCCTGTTACAGAGCAGACATGTGGTGGAGCCGGAGGCAGGTAGACCCTTTAGCAAGTGGCCGTTAGCTCAGTTGAGTTGAAGTGCTTGGAGGACTGCCCAAATGGAGGTGTGCAGGAAGTAGCTGGATGAACAGTCTGGAGCCGAGAGCAAGGTCAGGACTGGAGATACTGAACTGTGGGTCAACAGCAGAACAGTGTCACCGAAGTCTCCAAGGGGGACAGAATCACCCAGGAGTGTGTATGGCATGGGGAGGTGGGCGAGCTCATGTAGGTGGGTTTTCAGTCAGAACCTCTATTATGACTGCTTTTGGTAATTTTTTTGGTATGTTGTTATCCTTAGACAAAAGGTTCATAAATGCCAAAAATGCTTAGTGATGAGAAAAACCCAAAATGAAGGGAGAGTACGATGGGCAGATAGTAGGACTCAAGATCTCTGTCTCTGCCTATCAGTCTCTGTCCCTGTCCTTGTCTCTGTCTCCTAGTTATTGTATAGATAAATGTGCCTCGGCACAAGGCACAAGGTATAGTGATGAGTGTGTTGTGGTTGGTCTTTGGCTTGAAGGGCTCACCAACTGGCAGAGGAGATAGAGGCATAAGAAATGACGCAGTGACAAGACTTTGTGACATGTGCCATGACGGAGGTCCATGTGGGTTGCTTAGTACAGAGAAGCCAGCAATGAATTCTCACCGACCCAAGGAATGTTTGAGGGCAGGCTTCCCTGAGGGGTCCTACTATCAGTTTGAAGAATCTAGCAATGGGATGCAGAAATCTCCTCCTGCCCCAGATACACAGAAGCACGTCTATCCTCCCCCTGACAAAGTAAGGTTCATTCAAGGCAATAGGCCCTGAATTCTGGAGGGAGAATTGAGCAATGAAATGTCCACCCAAACTACGTAAACTGTCTAACTTGGACAAGGGAACATGGTACAATTCGTCACATGAAGCCTCCCTCTTGGCCAAACTGTGCTTTGATTGCACCGTTCCTAACAAAAGCAACAATTCCCAGAATTCTAGATGATCCTGGCACAGTTCTTGGAGCTGTGTTTTGCTTATTGTTTTTCTTTCTTGTCTTCAGGTCTGACAAAGGACAGGATTTTAGGGTGGACAGCATGTTTTGTGTGGGGAGGAAGTGACTTTGGTTAGATTTAAATTAATTTTTGAAATATTTTGTCAAAGTGCTTCATGTACCTAGTTTCTAAAAAATCAACTTGGAAATGCTGGCTCACAGCTGAAGCCATAGTTCCAGGTTCCTACCCCGACCACTTCTCTATCTGCTTGCACATTATCCTATATACTGAGAGAGGAGAATCCAGCTGATTCTCACAGATCATCATATGTAAATGCATTCTCCTTTCTCATACTCTTTGATTTATGTATATTCCTATCCTGTTTAGACTCTGTCTTTTTTACATATGGAGTTTTTCTTAGGCAGGGGGTGTGTTTTTCCTGGAAGTTATGTTTGCCTTTTTCCTTGTTAGCAGGAAAAATATATGCTTCCCAGTCCCTGCCTGTCCTCCCCACTACACGCACACCAGTAAGCTTTTACTTCAGTCTGTCACTTGGAAGCTATCACCTTCTTTAAGTCCATTAGCTTGTTTTAACTGGGATTTATTTACTAATTTATTTGGATGACCATGATTTTCATATAGCACTTTGGTTTTCTTACTTATTTCTTATTTATTTAACAACCTTATGTGGAACAAGTGATAGGTTTTTTCCTAAGAGCATTACAAATATTAACTCATTTACTTCCTTACAATAGTTCTATAAGTTGGTCTTATTTTTATCTCCAATTGAGAGATGAGAAAAATGAACACAGAGAGGTTGAGCCACTCACTCAAGGTCACACAGCTGAAAAGGGGCGGGGTTAGAATTCAGGCCCACACCTAGCTCCAGAGACTTTGTTCTTAAACCCTGTAGTGTTTTTCTTTTCATTTATTCTGTAGTGTAATTCTTTTCATTTGTTCCTTGCATTTAGTACCTGTGTCAGGTTCCCTGATTTTTTA